GAAGCTTTCAGACTGGACGGAAAAAGTATGCTAATAGGAAAAATCAGGGTAAAAGCGAAAAGGATTCAAAGAGGAGTTGATGAGGAAATGCGTTTGTGCTTTAATTGTTTCAGATGATGGCCTTTCTCCTGCGGAAAAAGACCTCACTCCTAAATGATCGAACCTTTCAGCTCATCCTCTCAATTGCTGGCACTGCGGAACTTGGCTTCAGATCCTCTGCTATCACCAACATCGGTATCTTCAAGCATGTCCTCTGTAACTTTGAGGTAAACTGGAAAATTACCTTTCCCAGTAGATGTAATGGCAAAATATAGTTGGAAATTCTGGAGATCCTTTTAAATGCGGCAGGTCATCTTCCATGATATTCATGTTGAATATGGGAAAATCCATGGAGGCTTTGACGTCTATGGCCTTGGTTTAGTCTAAAACCCTACCATGTATGGGCTGTGTGGTCTCAGGTAGGTCTCTTAACCTCTCTGATTCCCATTCGTTTCACTTACGAAAACACATATGGATGAGAGCAACGTGGAGATTTGAGAGCAAATACCTTCATGGGCACCATGCAGGTTTGTCCTAGTGCAGATTAAAGGGAAAAAAGACAGACCTGAGGTGCAAAGCTACATGATATGTCCTTTAACTCAAACATACGGGTAGTCTATGAGAGCATATGAAAGTTTATGACATCAAAGACTAGACTGTGTTTCTTTTATTATAAAAATAATATATTATTACTATAATATATTTTAAAATAAAGATTATTGAAGGGCGCTTCCTATTTTCAAGATTCAAAGAACTGTGATCAACAGTGAATGAATTCTTTTATGGTGTTTTCTATGTATAATTTATCATAATTGTCATGATGCTGTAGTGATTATTTTAAGTCCTGCCTTTTATCAGATAGGATAAATATTTAAGTAATTTTATTACAGACTCTTACAAACATTGTGAGGTTAAAGTAATCATTTATATTGTGGATAGTTCCTGATTTCGTATCCATTTTCCTATTGTTGGATTTTTAGATTATTCTTTTGCGTTATTCTTTTAAATAGATTTGGCTTCTTTTTTTTTAGCATACACTCTCCCACACATTTAGAAACAGAATAAATTATCACAGGTGACTATGAAGATAAATCTTTATAAACCATATTGGTTGCCGACAAACTTTGTCAAACTACCAATACCTAAGTATGATAGTGAAGAAAACAGCTTGTTAGAATTTTATTTTATATTCATTTCTGTAGTGGTACAACCCGTATCACTGGGAGATCAGTCCTGAGATTGTTGCAAGTGAAAGATTTTGAAATCTGAACTGAGCCAAAGGGTATGTGTTAAAGCAAAGGGCTAGTGAAAAAATTGTAATTCAGTTAGAAGCAATTCAGAATAGAAAGGTGAGGACAACACCTTGTCCATGTTGTCAAAATCTGAGGAAGATTCTTCTGATGCAGGATTTAGAAATTTATATTTGTATTGGAAAAGGGTAGGGAGAGAGAATGAACTGAGCATCTACATCAAGAAATTAGAGTGACAATAAAATAAACTCAGAGAAAGAAGAAAGGAAAATTAAGATGGGAACATAAACTAAATAATGTCCAGGCAGGTACGTGCCCAGTATATTTGACGACTAGAGGTCATCCGGGAGCTTGATGAAAATGGAGTGTATAGTCAGAAAGAAGCCAAGTAGAAATGTATTTGGAGTAGAGGGGATGCTTGAAGCTGGGGAAGTCAGTGGACTCTTTAATAATTAAGGAAAATGAAGAAACTGGAAGAGAAAGCTTCAGAACATGTGGTTTTATATTTTAAGATAGGAAAGACATAATTTTAAGGGAAGTAGCAATATAAAAATAATGTTGTTAGCTGCCACTGAATTGACCGCTCACTCATAATGATCCTATGCACTGTGGAATCAGACTAGTGTCATCCATAGGGTTTTCGCTGACCGATCTTTGGAAGAAGATTGCCAGGCCTTTATTTCTAGTCTATCTTTAAAAGTTCTGCTAAAACCTGTGTAATATCCTAGAAACACACACGCCTCCCCTGAGAGATGTGTGAGAGACTAAACTTTTGTTGGGTCATGTTCTTAAAGGAGACAACGAGTTTTCAAATTAGATAATATTAGGAGAAGGGGTAGGGTCCACCATAGCAGGCTAGAAGGAGTCAGTACAGGATGATGAGGGCATTGAGGGCTAAGGCTTCTGGTTTCCTGAAGTGATGGAAGGTCAGCTTGTTTTGGAGAGACAGGTGGCCACAAGGGTTTGCGGAGAGTAAGGTTTGATACATTATCCATTTAAGATGAAAACAACTCTAATGCAGTCATCTCAGTTCAATACAGGGACTATGTGGCACAGGATAGTAACCAAAGGATTTAGTTATCTCTTTCCTAAAATTCAGATACTTGATATACTGTAATTTCTGAAAGAAGCTAGGAAGATATTCAAATAAGTTATGGCAGCTTCTTTCTGTTCTAAAGTTCTGGAAAGGCAATATGAGGTGTACTTCTTTAGGATGACTACGGAGTACAGCCGGTCACACTGAGATTTTCGCCTTCACAGTTCACCCATTCCCAACACAGTTTTTTGCCCAATAAATGGCACATAGTTTGATCAATGAATGGCTGCTTTAATGAGTGGACATTGTTAGTGTATAGGGCTCTTAGAGTACCATTGATGAGCATGTTGTGCTGTCTTGCCTAGCTATGTCTACCCCAATGTAAGCACATCAGTCCAAAGCAGCTTTCTAAAGGGAGACAAAAGACTTATCTCTGCAGAGACATAGGTGGTGGATATATGTGTGTTTGGCCTTGGTTTACTTTGCATTCACTCTTTTTCAAAAAATTAAAAGATCCTCAATAAAGGCCTACTATATAATTTGTGTGCCCTGGGGATTTGAGAGTGATGGCCCTTCCGTCATGATCTTTTGATAAGGCTGTGTTCTTTGGCGTTCTAATATGTCCACTCTAAAGAAGACAATACTGGCCATGATTGGTCTAAGTAAAGAAGATATTCATCTTGTGAATCATTGCTCTGCAGGGTATGCCTGAGAGGGAGCACAACATGCGGGCTAGGAAGGAGTCTGATGGACTTCAGTTTAAACTCACCTTTGCCAGTGAAAAAAAATCATAGGATGCCGGATAAGTTGCTTAGTCTCTCGAAGCCTTATCAATGCATTAGTGAAAATGCTATGGTTTTTGGATTTTGTATTGTAACCTTTATCTTCATACCATCATTGACTTGATTTTAAAATGTGATTTGTTTCATTTGAGGCTATATAAGTGTACTCTTGCAACCCCATACTTCCTCCTTTTTATACTCTGGGCTTTATAAACTATCAGCATTTCTAACCACATGCTGGCATTGAATCCATTCCAACTCACAGCAACCCTGTAGGACAGTAGAGCTGTACCCTATGGGTTTCTGAGGCAGTAAATCCTTATGGGAGCAGAAAGCCTCATTTTCCTCCCAAGGAACGGCTGATGGATTTGAACTTCTGACCTTGTGGTGAGCAGCCAAACACATAACCCATTATGCATTTAGATATGAAAATTAATAAAATACTCTAAACAGGAAATGAGGTATGAATAAAGAAAGCACAGCATTAATGCTTCCTCAAAGAGATTGGCTAATGAAGGTGTTTTGTTTAATGAGTTTGAATGATGTGAATTATTGGCTTCACTGAGTCTCAATGCAACTTATGTACATGTGTGGTTCACAATTCTGCCGAAGGTAACTTGAGTTTAGTTTTAGGTTTTATACCTGGGGGTACCCCCCCACAAGATGGAATTTTTTTCAAAGTTATGTATTTAAATTTTTTACAAACCAACCTTATCACCTTCAAAGTACTCTCCATTACACTTACTATGTCTGTAAAATCTGCGATTCCATTCTTGGAAACATCTTTCAAACTCATCTGTGTGGACTGCGGACAGCACCTCCCTCGTTTTTTCTTCACTTCTCCCGCATTAGCATATCACTCTCCTTTCATGTCTCACTTCATTTGTGGAAACTGAAAGAAGTCACATGGACTGAGGTCACGTGAGTCAGGTGGGGCAAGAAAGGTGTGCTGGTTTTTGCCCCAAACTGGCACACTGATAGCTGCGTGCGTAGGTGCAAGCAGGCCTTTTATTGTCGTACACTGTTATGCACTCTTCCCAGAACTTCTCAAGAGAAAGCTTGATTAACAGTCTGACCTGGCGGAATGAACTCCAAATGCACTGTGAGTCTACATCTTTGTCTGTTAGGGAAGTTGATGGATGTCCAGGATGAGTTTTGCCATCAATCAATATTTCCCCTTTTCTGAAACAAGAAAACTACTTGTTCACTTCAGTTTTTCCCATAGTGCTGTCCTTGTAAGCTGTGTTCAACATCACAACGGTTTCTGCAGATTTTTCCTGAGCAGAAAACAAAATTTCACAGTCATACACTGTTCTATTAAATTGGCCATCACAAAAAAGGAGGTTTGAGTGAAGCTACTTTTATGAAAAAGTTCACTGTGACCAGAGAGAACCTTCACAGGCAACTCCACTGGCTGACTAATGAGAACAAGTTGCTCCATGCTCACCTTGCAGGGAAAATGAGTACTGTGAAAGCTTCGCCTAGTGGGGCTTTTTCCCATTGGGGAGGAGGGGCACCCCCTCATAGATGAGTGAAGATAAAAAAATGTTGTATTTACAGACTATTTGGTTTAGCTTGAAACTGCAAGCTTCTGATTTCAGTCCTCCCATTGCTGGTGGTCTCAGCCTTCACATTCTCATACCCTTTAAAGCGGGAGCACTGGTACTTGCTTTGTGGGACAGAGTAAGGATGAAACGCATTCGGTTGGCATACAATTTATGAAGACCTGAGAGTTTTTGGGTGCACATTTCCTTGATTGAAATTAGAGTCATAATCAGGCACTATAAATGAGCAAGAGATAAATGAGAGAGCAACAGTGTTTGAACAGTACTCATTTTCCCTGCAAGGTGAGCATGGAGCAACTTGTTCTCATTAGTCACCCAGTGGAGTTGCCTGTGAAGGTTCTCTCTGGTCACAGTGAACTTTTTCATAAAAGTAGCTTCACTCAAACCTCCTTTTTTGTGATGGGAAATGCATTCTGGACACCAGGAGAGCTCATGAGATGGCTCAGTTAAAAAGTCACATGGGTGATAAAAAGGGGTGAAGGCAAGCATCCTATTTCTTTCTGCTGCCTAGAAGTCCTTCTCTTTATAGGCATTTTGGAATCAGAGTATGTTTGTTCTGTCTTACAGCTCTGGATGAACACTGCCGACAATCTGGATCTTGCCCTCTTTTCCCACCTGGTTGAAATCTTCCAGTCACCAAGGTAGGCCGAGCTATGCAGAATAGGTATGAAAACAAAAGCTTTGTGTAGGATACAGAAATTGAGGAGGGGAAGAGGGGGAGGTAGTATTCCCATTGACTCATCAGCTTGAGCCCACCCCCACTTCCTAGGACACTCAGTCCTTGGGTGGGATCATGTCCCTTTTGGGGGCTCACATGTATAGGACTAGTTTGTTGAGGCTCTTAGACCTCTTGAGGGCTGGGAACTGTTGTTTTTGTTGTTGTTGTTAGGTGCCATCAAGCTGGTTCCAACCCACAGTGACCCTGTGTACAACATAAAGAAAAACTGCGCTGTCCTGCACAGTCCTCCCAATTGTTCCTATGCTTGAGATCCTTGTTGCAGCTCCTCTGTCAATCTGTCTGCTTGAGGTCCTTCCTTGAGGGCCTCCTTTCACTGCTCCTCTGCTTCACCAAGGATGGTGCCCTTCTCCAGGGACTTGTCTCTGCAGTCCACATACATGCAATGCAGCCTATCCATTCTTGTCTCTATTTGCCTAGACTTCTTCGTAGATGTGTTTATTTGAGGATGGGGTGGGGAGCAGACTGCAAAGAATATAAGAAAAAAGAAAATGTTATACAATTGATTGTAGTAATGATTGTACAATATTTCTTGATATGAATGAACTATTGAATTTATGATATTTGGATTATGTCCAACAAAACTGTTTTGGACATAATCCAAATATTGTAACTATGTATACATATCATATATATAAAACCTCAAAAATTAAATAAAACATTTGTTTGTCATTTTGGCAGTCTATGGTACTTTCATTATTCTTTTCCAGCTCTGCAATTCAAATGCATCCATTTTTCCTCAGTCTTCTCCATTTAAGGTCCAACTCTTACATGCTTCCGAGGTTATTAAAAATATCATGCTTCAAGTCAAGTGCACCATGGTCCCCAAAGTAATATCCTTGCTTTTTCAGTACTCCAAAGAGGAGATTTATCCAGTGCAACCCATCTGTGGATCTCTTGCTGGCTGCTTCCAAGAACATTGATTGTGGATCCAAACAATCCAAACACAAAATCCTTGACAACTTCAAAATTTTCTCCAGTTATCAGACTTATTAGTCCAGTTGTAAGGATATTTGGTCCTCTTTACCGTGAATTATAATCCAATCTGAAGGTCACAGTTCTGAACCTTCATCAGCAAGTGCTTCAATTCTACTCAGACTGGGATTCTGCTCATAAATGTGGCCACAAAAGTGGCCTCCCTGACCATTCTTCCTCTAATCCTCGACAGTCATTTTTTAAATTAGTCTGCGCTCTTTTGTTTACAAACCAATTTTTATCAATTCAATTCTGTCTCATAGCAACCATGAAGGACAGAGTGGAACTGTCCCATAGGGTTTTCTAAGAGGTAACTTCATGGGAGCAGATAACTAGATCTTTCTTCCCTGGAGTAGCTTGTCGGTTCCAACTGCAGATTGCTGATCTTTCCTTTTTCAACTATATACTGTGAGTTAAATGACAGACGACTACAGAACAGATTCGGTTTTTGTTCAGCAATCCAAGCACATTTTATTGTATGCCATTGATTGCAGTCACCACAATGTAATGGCCCTCTTGCCACTTCCTTCCCGTATTTCTGATTTCCATTTTTCCTTCTTTCCTATTCCTTTCTACCTTTTGATTTCATACGGTTCCTTGTTCTAATGAGTGTGTGCCTCCCTAGTGTTTTCATTCCCTGTCTATTGCTTGGCTGAAAAAGCATCAAGAGTTTGATTCTGCCTTTTTTGTATATTAGGTATGTGGAGTTCAGCAGAATGTAACATATAAATACTGAGAAAAAAATATTAGGCGCAAACTACTAAAAGTCACCGACCTTTGTCTCCACTTCGCACTTCTTTATCATCACCTGTACCTGCGTTTGTGTTGTTTTGTCTTGTTTTTGCCATGAGACTGACATTTGCCCTGGGAGCTGTTTTCTTTGCAGAGCACAATTTACTGGAAAATGGAATTGTGATTATCCTACAAAAAGGGATATAGATTCTTCAATTCTCTGCCTTTCCCCTTTGACTCTTGGCAAGGTGTGTTCATCCACTTTGTGGTTTGGGGGGACAGGAAGAGTGCACACACCCAGACAGGCTTGCGGAGGCCGAGGCTCCTGGCCATTGGGAAGTGCTCCACACTCACCTATGGGCCTGCTATCTTTGTTTGGAGTTTTCTGAGACCAGCATTAGTCTTCCCTGAGGCTCAAAATTTAAAAGTCAATAATTGGGGTTTGTCTTTGAAGACTATTTCCAGGGAAGGAAGTAAACTAGGAGGCTCTTTCTGAGCCTACTCTGGTCTTTGGCAGACACATATTCAATGGGTGTCTGATGGAATTTTGACAAGTTTCCAAATGAGGACTGGAGTTAAAGGGACATGGAACAAGTCTAGCCTGGAAAAGCTTTTTAGAAGAAACAAAGCAAAGTTTGTCATTTCCAGTAAAAAGTTTTCACTGTCTCTCTGCTGGGTTTACCAGGGAAGGACCCCGGAATGCTAAAGTTGCTCACCAAGCACAGCTTATCCCCAAGCTTATCTTCCTCTTCAACGAGCCAAGTCTCACCCCTTCCAAGATCCCCACAATCATTGCTATCCTGGGACACCAGCTGAGAAGCCACTTTAACCTCCAAGACTTTCTCAGGTACTGCACCAACCACCTTTGGGGAAGGGAAGGATTGAAAACCGCATTAGTAAGGGATGGTCCTCACCTCATATCTGATCACATTTAACCCGTTATCACTGCCCTTCAATGCAGTGGCAGATTCTGTCTTTGGAAATTTCTGTGGGTTTCTAATTAGGACTCAGTTGAAGAAAGTGGACATGGAAATGCCATACTCAAGACACATTGTTATAAGAGCTGTAAGAGCCTCTCAATAAATGATTAGGGGAAAAATGCAGTGGATGAAGTTTGCCCAGATGCAAGAATTTCCATTAACATAGTAATCTTTGTAAGGGCTGATGACCCAGTGACTACCTGAAAGATATTCCTCACAGGTACCACCTTTAGCCCTTTCAGTCCTCATTACTCTGGTATATTGATTTGACAGAACTAGAATTAGCAACACATTTGTTGAAGCCTGACAGATCTTAGGAGTCTCTAGCAATTATATAGTGATCAGAGAATTATATGATTCCAGTTAATCTCTTTATAGTTGATGTCACAATGGGGTTAAACTAGGCAGAAACCCCTGATAGAGCCCTGAAGATACATACTGAGTTGATAATTGAGTATGTGTTCTCTCCTTGTTGCATAAGGATCGCACTCTTTGTTGTGTATACCCTCAAGCCTGCAGCAGTGAATGAGAGGCAGATCTGCATGGAGCAAGTCGTGGACTTCCCCAAGGCTGGTGAGAAGCCCTTTCCCCGAAACCAATGTGAAGACATCAGTAACACTTACTGTGTCTCTAAGCAGCACTTCCTGCGAGGCCCCTTTGCAAGAGGGAGAGGCTTAAGCAAAGAGGAGAAGGCACCCATGGCTGAGTATTTACTTGTTTTATGATTATGATCAAAAATCAAGTAGAATTATGTATTTCAGCTTCAAACCCTTAAGTGGCTTACAAGGCTTCCAGGACAAAATCAATGGTCTTAGACCAGCACGGGTGTTCTCAGGCTTGAGTAGTCCCCGCCTACCTTCCTCACCTAATGCTCTCCCACTACCCACCTCCCTCGCTTCCCATGAGCTTCAACTGCTCTGAGCCACTTGAAAGTTCTAATGTACAGTAATCGGTCATCTTTCCTGCCTTTCCATAAACCGTGCCCTCCAAAGGAGCACCTGTCCTTTACCTTTCTACTTCACTCTGACTAGACACAGGCATTTCCTCCAGAAAGTCCCACCGAGTCCGCCAAGCTAGACGAAGCAACACTCTGTGCACCCTAAGTTCCTTTGGGTTTATCTTAGTACACAGAGTTGCAACTTTTCTTTTTTATTACATTTACTTTCTTTCTATTGAGCCCTTGATATCAGCTTCTTTTTCTGCTTCCCTTCCCCTTACCCCCTCGTGTCCCCTTGATAAATTATAAATTATTGTTATTTTAATATCTTATACTGACCTCTGTCTCCCTGCCCCTATGGTTTCTGTTGTGTATCTACCTGGAAGGGGGGTGAGTGATTGCTTTCCCCCTTCCCTCCTCTCCCCACCTTCCCCCTCTCCTTATTTCTTTAGGTGTCTTTCTACATCTTATCCAGCATCCCCACAGCGTAGGGAAGGGGAAAAGAAATAATTACAGACCACACTATCCAATTGCTACAATTGTGCTGCTCAAGACAGGAAGCACAATTTAGTCTTGTGTTGCCATTTAATTTTAATTAGATGAAGTTAAAATTTTAAATATTACATTACACCATCCACATATCAGGCACTCAGTAACCACATGCAGTTAGTGCCTACCATTTTAGAAAGTTCAAATATATAACATTTCTATCATTAAAAAATGCCTTTTCCTTGAACAGCACTGCCCAATTTAGATAAATCGTCTTCATGATTTCCTATTTCAAGTGAGAGTAAAAAGTAGAAATCATAATTCTAATTTTTAAAATGAGAGTGCTGAAGCTGAGCGTTGTTATGTTCTTAATAACAGGAGGCCAGAATCCAAATACTACACAGAAAGCTGATTCCACTTCACCAAGAAGTCCAGGATTAACAGCATATATCTCTGTCCTGGATGGTCCAAATGAGGGCATGAATGAATGATTAAGAGGCAGGCCAACCATGAACTTACTTAGTTTATCCTCTGTGTATGTTCTTCATTTGTAATAAGCATCTTATGTGAAAACATTTTTTATGTGTCCATTGAGGCCTTAACAACACGTCAGAAGGTACAGTTCTCCTGAATTGATACCTCTCAGGCTCTGTCTGTAGCGCACATTTAAATGTGCTGCTTACAACATCGTTCAGAGTCAGATGGGGCAAGAGGCTAATCTGGAGGCAATTTCGGAACAAAATCCAAGAGAGCATGGATCTTCACCTCTCTACTCCTAATGCCACACAAGTTGCATCCTGTGATCCTATAAAATTATTCTATGAATGATTGGTTTAACCTTGTAATGTTAGTATTCTGGGGAGGTTGAAGGCGTCCTCAAGACTTTTCTGAAGTTCTTTTTAAGCATTACATATTGTATCCTGGAATTGAATGCCAAAATTTGAATTCCATCCATTTCCCAATTCCTGGGTGAACTGTGTTTAGTGAGTAAGAAAATTTACTGTGGCAAATACTATGTCGCTTTACATCCGTTTTCTTTGAAATCTGAATTTTCTTTTTGTAGCTGGAAGCCAAACATCTGGAAAGACAATCTGGCTCAGAAACCAGTTGCTGGAGATGCTACTCAGTATAATATCTTCTTGCCACCTTCGTCTGTCCTCCGAGTAAGTAGCTCCAGGACGAGTGACTTGGCATGAGGTTGCCTCGCACAGGGCATAATAATAAAACCTTTCTTTACTGAAACAGCATCGCCCCGATGAGTGTCCTGCATAACACAGGAAGGAAAATTATATTCCCTCCACCCAGACCTTGCCCTAAGATATCCTGATGCAAATGTTAAATGGGCATGCGTACCTAGAAACACATTTGCTATCATTACAATAAACTCATTTTGTCACCATGGCTGTTATGTAACGGTTATTGTTTTGGCAGTTGTGACAATTACTGATTTTGATGTCCTAAACTTGGCAGCAAATAGAATAGAAAATGGTTAACCATTTCTATCTATCAAGGAAAAGGCTTGCCAAGTTCTATTGCTATTTACTGTTAGTAATTTAGTAATTTTTCCAAGTTAAAAAATAATTATATGCTTTCTACTAATTTTTAAAATAATATATAATCATAAGGCTGACTCCATGAACTCCCCCACTACCTGCCTGCTTCCCCTCCAACCTTGAAGTCATTCATTCTGCTCTTTGTTGAGCACCTGGTGCCAACCATAGTTTCCCCCTTTGGGATGCAATGCTGAGCAAAGCAGTCCAGATCTTTGCTTCCAGTGAGTTTACATTTCTAGAATTAAAACAGTAAAACTGGAAGGCACTTTGGAAATGAACAGTTTCAACCCCTTCTTTTAACATCTTTTTGAGGGGGAATATAGGATAGTGGTGAAGTACCTGGACTCTAGTACCTAAAAATGTTGGGTTCAAATCTCAGCTTTGTGATCCAAGTGATACTAAGAAGAGTCTATAAGGCCTTTCTGCCTCTGTTCAAGGAGCCTGGGTGGCACAGTGGTTGAGAGCTTGCGCCCAAATTTCAGCAGTTCAAATCCAGATATTTCATGAGAGAAAGCTGAGGTGGTCCTAACCTTATGAGTCAGTTCTACTCATATGAGTCAGTTCTACCCTATAGGACCAATATGTCAGAATTAAATTGATTGCAATGACCTTGATTTTGGGTTTGACATGCCTCTCTTCTACTGTTCTGTATGAAATCAAAATAGTACTCGCCACATATGGTTCTTGTGAAAATTAAATGAATTCATGTATGGATAGATAGTTCTAAGAATGATGCCTGTAATACTGTAAACATAAGCTACAATTGTCATTATTACCATCACATCACTGAGGAAAATGATCGAGCGAGCATAGCAGAGCTCTTGCAGAGTTTATCACCTAGTAAACCTCAGGTCCAGAACTAGAATAAAGAACAGTGCCTTGACTCTCGTCTAGTGCACCTCTCACTGCTCCCGTTTCCACTGGCCATCAACCACACCTTGACTGATGAGTTTGGCAGCTGATGTTCCAAACACTGCTTGACACATATAACCCCTCTGAGACTGGCTCTGTTACTAGGGCCAAGGGTCTTGCTGGATTTTTGGCCAGCCTCCCTTCTTACCAGTTGCCTCCAGCAAGCCTGTTTTCTCCAGATTCGTCGTTTAAAAATTCATATTTGAGAGTGGCATTTAATCATATTGTTGCCTAAACTGATAAAAATCCATAAATATTAGACTTCCATTTAATGTGTTTTGATCAGTGCCTTTAAAAGGGGAGGTAAATAATCATATTTGTGTTCTATATGACTTTTATAAGATAACAATTTGAACTATTCAGACAATTCTGACTTATATTGACCCTATAGGACAGAGTAGAACTACCCTGTGAGTTTCTGGGGCTGTAAAATTTTTAAAAAATACATAATTTTTGTATGTTTTCTTACTTTTCACTTCATATTAGTTATAGTTTGGACTTTGACTATTTTTAAAATAAAAAAAATTACTATGAAGCATAAATACAACTACAAAGCAACTATACCCTATATTGTAAATTGACTTTTATTTTTTTATGTTCTCCTTTTTAAAAAATCATTTTATTGTGGGCTCGTGCAACTCCTATCACAATCCATACATACATGCATTGCTTCAAGTACATTTATACATAGTTTGCCATCATCGTTTTTAAAGCATTTCCTTTCATCAGCTCCTCAGTAAATTGACTTTTAATGTATACTTGGAGCACAAAGCTTCATATTTCTCCTGCAGAGTGACTGGTTGGGTGAGCTGCTGATCTTGCAGTTAACAGCCCAACTCATATCCCATTTTTGCCACCAGAGCCCATTATAATTCAATTAGATGCATTTTTATTCATATGATTTGTAAAAGTATGAATATTATTAATGAAACAGTTATCAAGGGCCATGCATACTTTTCCATCTATTCATATATGGTTTCTAATTGCTTTGAAAGCTTTCTCTATTTTCTACCACCAAAACTAAAAAGCCAAACCCACTGCCATCAAGTTGGTTCCAACTCATAGTGATTCGGTAGGGTAGAGGAGAGCAGTGAAATTAGGGTTACAAGCCTATAAATCATAACAAGCTCAGATGGCCGCGTCTTTGTTCTGCCACAACAGGGCTCCTCATTTTCATGCTTCACCAGACACACTCACTGCCATCAAGTCAATTCTGACTCACAGTGACCCCATCAGGCAAGACTGTCAATCTTTAAAGAAACAGAAACCCTCATTTTCCTCCTATGAAGTAGCTAATGGATTCAAACTTGTGACCTTGCAGTTAGCAGCCCAATGAATAACCTGTTGTACCACCAGGACTCCTGCTTTGTACCAGTCATTTAAAAAACACATGTTTTTTTCATAGTAGTCTTACCTTCATTTCATCAATATTTTAAAATGTAATATGTACTTTGCTAAGTGGTCTCTAAATCTTCACCTTAACTTGCCTTTCCCAGATGTGCAGTTGGGTTAAGCATTATTTATATTTTCTGGAATGCCATTTGCCCCTGACCAGAGAGATAGTTTATTGTGTTCTCCCCACCAGGTCAAGGGACGAGACCTTTCTGAACCTGGGGCCAGACTGGTTTCTGCTTCTCATGCAGAGCCACGTGCATCCTAGCACCACTGTGTTGGGTCTAAAGTTACTGCTGCACTTTGTGTCAAATCCCACCCTCCGGGGCCGATTCAAGGAACAAATGTCTGCTGGATCCTGGGTAGAAAACAGTGCTGCGGGTGTGGATGTCATAATGGGTGAGTGTACCTTGTCTGGAGATTTGATACTGCTACATCCTAGGACGTGTGTGAACACCCAATCGCTCCCTGCTCAAGACCTTGGCAGGGTCACATGTGACCCAGACTCCAAGATTTACAACAGGATCAGTCTCTAACCGCACCACCGAGGACACATCTCCTCCCTCCAGTCACAGGGG